TTAAGATGAATGGATAGATGGAAACTGAATATGAATGTAGATGAATAGATGATAGATGGATAGATGAATGGATGGATGGATAAAATGGACTGGATGGATAGATACAAAGGACCTGGCTGGGCAGATGAATAGATGGATGGAAAAAAAATTGATGTCTGAAATAGATAGATAGATGAAATGGATACATTAAATGGATAGATATGGATAAAGATGGACTGACTGGATGGATATTGAATAGATAGATAGATGGACCTGGACAGACTGCTGGATGGATAGATGGAGATGTGAATAGATAGATGGATGGATGATGGATAGATAGATAGATGGATGGATAAACATGGACGGACTAAAAGACTCGGAGATAAATAGATGGATGGATGGATAGATAGATAGATGAATAGACAGATGGAAAGCTGAATGGATAAATGGATAGATAAACATGGACAGAGGATAGACTGAACCTTATAGATAGATAGATGGATAGATGAATAGGAAAACAGAAACCAAAATTGATGATAAATGAAAATTATAGATAATTATAGATAGATGAATGGAAATTGAATATAGAGATAGATTCCATAAATGACTGAATTTTACGTTCAATTTGTTTTAAGGACTTACAAATGAATGTTATAGATGAATCAATAGACAGATAGATAGATAGATAGATGAACGGATGGACTGGACGACTGAGGACTGTTTAATACGTTCACTCGGCAGATAAAAAATCACTAGCAAATGAATGTCTGTTAAAGATAGAGATGAATAGATAGATATAGATAGATAGATAGATAAACATGGACTGACTGAGGATACATTACGTTCACTCGGCAGAGAGAGAGGGAGAGGGAGAGACAAATGAATGTCTGTTATAGATAGATAGATAGATAGATAGATAGATAGATAGATGATAGATAAACATGGACTGACTGAGGATACATTACGTTCACTTGGATAGATAGAGAGAGGAGAGAGACAAATGAATGTCTGTTATAGATAGATAGATAGATAGATGGATGATATAGATAGATAGATAAACATGGACTGACTGAGGATAGATTACGTTCACTTGGCAGAGAGAGAGAGGGAGAGAGACAATGAATGTAGATTATAGATAGATAGATAGACAAATAGATAGATAGATAGATAGATAGATAGATAAATGAATGAAAACATGTACTGACTGAGGATACATTACGTTCACTCGGCAGAGAGAGAGAGAGGGAGAGACAAATGAATGTCTGTTATAGATAGATAGATAGATAGATGATAGATAGATAAACATGGACTGACTGAGGATACATTACGTTCACTCGGCAGAGAGAGAGAGAGAGGGAGAGACAAATGAATGTCTGTTATATATAGATAGATAGATAGATAGATAGATAGATAAACATGGACTGACTGAGGATACATTACGTTCACTAGGCAGAGAGAGAGAGAGATAGAGATAGATAAACAGACTGAGGATGAAAATGAATGTTTTGATAGATAGATAGATAGAGATAGATAGATAGATAGATAAAAGAGTGATTACTGAGAGACAGAGATGGATAGATAGATAATGAAGAGGCAGATAGATAGGAGATAGATAGATAGATAAAGGTGATTGGGGAGGACTGAGAGATGAGATAGATAGATAGATAGATAGATAGATAGATGATAGAGAAGATGAGATGATAGATAGATAGATAGATAGATAGATAGATGAGACTGAGGGACTGAGATAGATAGATAGAGGAGAGAACTGAGAGACTGAGATAGATAGATAGATAGATAGAGGATAGATGAGACTGGGATGGATAGATGGATAGATAGATAGATAGATAGATAGATGATAGATAGATAGATAGATAATGAGTATAGAGATGAGATAGATAGATAGATAGATGGATAGATAGATAGATAGATAGATAATGAAGAGAATGAGATAGATGGAGATAGATAGATAGATAGATAGATAGATAGATAGATAGATAGATAGATAGATACTGAGAGAAGAGATAGATGGATGGATAGATAGATAGATAGATAGATAGATAGATAGATAGATAGATAATGGGATAAATGGATGGATGAGGATGGATGGATAGATAGATAGATAGATAGATAGATATAGATAGATGGATAGATAGATAGATAAATAGACTGAAATAGATGGGAAGGGGACACGAAGAGATAGATAGATATATATATATATATATATGGATAAGAAAGAAAGAACAGTAAGATATAAAATCCGGTGTTCTTATAGATATTTTATAATGAAGATGAAATAGAACTAATGCTTTTTAATTTATTTGCAAAAATAAAATTAGGTTTCTTCTATTTTGAAGAGTTGGAACTAGGAAATAACCATATATAAATATATTTATATATATATATATATATATATATAGAGAGAGAGAGAGAGAGAGAGATGAATAGAATATGATAGCTATGAAGAGACTGACATATTTATATATACACACACATATATAAAGAGACTAATATATTTAGATAGATTGATAAATAGATAGATAGACAGATAATGAATAGAGTGAGATATATAGATAGATAGATAGATAGATAGATAGATAGATAGATAGATAGACATGAACAGAATGAGGTAGATATGAATAGACTGACACACATATACACACACACATATGTATATATACATACATATAGGTATACATATGAAAAAACAGACAGATAGATAGATAATGAATAGAGACTGACATATTTATATACACACGCACATATATAAAGAGACTAATATATTTAGATAGATAGATAGATAGATAGATAGATAGATAGATAGATAGATAGATAGATAGAGTGAGATAGATAGATAGATAGATAGATAGATAGATAGATAGATATAGGAAGCGATATCAAGAGACTGAGATAGGTATATTGATAGATATATTCAGACTGTAATAGATAGACGAAACTATCAAAATTGCCGCTGGAACTGTGAATCAATTCTCGATAAAATATGTTTTATTTAGCATTATTATTATTGCATCTCATTGTGAATCAAATTCTCATGGGTTACCATCCAAATTTTCTCGAACGGAAACCAAATGCAAATGATCCAGAACAGATTTTCAATAAGCTGCATGGCCCTCCCCCTGTTGAAAATCACCACTCGTCTCTTTGACTGCAAGGAGGTACATTTAGTAATGCTCTGCTTCAGCAGTCCGTCACTCCGTAAAAAGCCAAGTTCCGAGTCGTAAAAAGTCAAGTTCTGCGCCAGTTCCTGCTCGGTGAGACGTCCGAAAAAGATGCCCATGATCTGGACGATTTCGGGCAACATCTGTATATACTCGTCCGGGGCACGAGATTTACCGTTCCCTTGGATCCAACTTATCCACATCGTTGGGTAGGTAAATAGGTCCACTGTTCGTGGGACTATGATTAGTAAGATCGTCTAATTGATCATTGTCTATCTTATCTTACTTATTATAAAAGGCAGATTGTGTGTGTGTGTGTGTGTGTGTGTGTGTGTGTGTGTGTGTGTGTGTGTGTGTGTGTACGTTTATATGTTGGATCGGATTTCCTACATTTTTCAACCGATTTCAACAAAACTTAACAGGACTACGTAAAATTACCTTGCGGTCGTTCTGACAGCACCAACAATTGGAAAAACACAATTGTTTTTGCACGAAATCAATTTGAAAACACGATAAAACACGATTCTGTCGCCAGAATGAAAGGGGACAACTTATATCGAGTTATACTTATTATAAAAACCAAGGTTGTTTGTGTGTGTGTGTGTGTGTTCGTTTATATATGGGATCATTTCCTACATTTTTCAAACTGATTTCAACAAAACTTCACTTTTTTTTTGGCATGTAGTGTTTCTTATTGTCTTGCACACTTTTTCTTTATTTTTTACATTCAGAATGCTTTAAAAAATTCCATTTAAAAGACAATTGTTTATAATAAAATTCTATTCAATCGGTAGACTCATAACGATTGAAAACAATGTTTTTGTTTGAGTTTGGGTTTGACCAATTCGTAAAAAAAAACAAAAAACAAAAACAAAAAAAACTAATTAAGACATGCGTGTCCGTCAAACTTAAACAATAATCTTTGTCACTTTTATTTTTCAGTCTTTATGATGGTCGATACTTGATCTATCTCTTACTGTTACATCTCCGGGCAACGCCGGGCTCTACTGCTAGTAATCTTATAAAAAGCACCTGTATTTTGCTCGTCTCAGTATCATCGAAATATACATGATCGCCTAAGCGTGTATTACGCCTGGCACATCTGACTGACCGTAGAGTCGATCCGCAAATGAGCCTCTGAGCAGTCCCCCTTTCACATATCTAGGTTAGCAAGTTGACCTTGCAAACCCCAAAAGATCTTCAAGTCTGATTGCTGATGTTCTCAAGATGACGGCTCACCTTGGTCACGGACCCGGGTCTATTGATTTAATCGCGGAAACCCTTCATTCTTGTCGATGAGTTCAATCTAGGGTATCCTTCCGTCAATGCGAATGCCATCACAGCGCTGGCTTTATACATAGGCCAGCTTACCCCAGTGTGCTTTATGACCGTTGTCCCTACAAGAAGCTTCATGCGTCCTTTTGATGGGTCTTGTTTATAATCATACTGGGTGTCTATCCTCCTCTATTACCAATCGGACTCTGAACCAATGATGAATTTATGTCCCCCCCACCCAGGAAGGCAATGTTCCTTGAGCGCTTATTGTGGCTTAAATTCACCCCAACCGTCAAGCGGGACTCGTTCATATGACCCAACGCTAAAGATGCTGGAGAAATAGTCGGTTCCCTAGATCGTTCTGACACCTCGTTTTATTCTCTACCTTTACAAGACTCAGACCAAGCCTAAAATGAGTTACTGACGCCATATATGGACAAGAGCTGTTCAGGCTTCACTTTCCAGTTTTGCTAGACTTCAAAAACGTCTCTGCGTCCTTGTGGATGACAAATTATTTGCCACCTTACAACGAAACGTCACAATCCTCCCACTGCCCTGTCGCTATTTCTATAGAAAATGTTCAGACGAATTACTTTCCTTAGTTCCACAAGTTCACGACTAAGACCCACGATGCTAGGAACATTCTAGCAAACCACCTTCCTTCCCTTCGTATCCCATAAGAGGGACGAAATTTCCACTTGAGCAGCTTTTTTCCTGCGAACGGCTGCTTTGTGGAACCAACTCCCAAGAGAATCCTAACCTGTTCACGTCTCTGGTTAACCGTTATCTTACACACATATCTGCATAATATATGCATCTTACTTTATAACCTTCTAACTAGAGAGGTTCACGGGCCTTTTACAACGTGTCATTAGTGTAAAAAGATAATCAGAAAGCTGATGTTACAACATTGTGGCAGGCAGTACTGAATTACTAGGGCAGATCGATTTTGGAACTGTGACATTGCACTCAGTTTGGAACATTGTTATGATATTTGTAGCACAATTTTTTTTTTTCCAAATCGTTATCGTTTATGTGGAAACTAGTTTGAAGTTTAAGGTCAGGTTCATAATCGTAGCGTTGGAATTTAATTCTGGTGACCAGTAAACACTTTAAAGCACAGCCTTATAAAATTTATAATTTTCCGAGGCCTTGCAGATTTTATATAGACAAGTTGCATGGCACAAGCACATTATTATTTAATCATTGTGCCATCAAATAAGACCTTCATTTGCTTCAAAGGGAAATTATACTGGACAATTTAGCTATATTATGATGTAATGTGTTATATAGTGCACTAGTTTTAGTGTGATTCTCAATAAACAATGCAAATTTAATACATTTTCTCTTATAATTTGTCCCCAATAGTATTAAGGTGTTTAAATACACATTTATAGTAAAATTTCCCAGAATAATTCTGTGGATAAGACAAATTGGTTTAAGAATGACAATGGGAATATTTATTAATTTTTTAATTTTCAAATTTAATTTTATTTATTTATTTATTTTTTTGCTGACTCGTTTCGTTTTCCGACTTTATCAAGGCAAACAATGAAGGCGAAATGTTATTACACTAAATTTGTAAATTGGTATTTTACATGATAAATAATAACAAAATTGCATTACCGTTTTTTTGAGGAAACTAGTTTAAAAGTTTAAGTTTAGGTTCAAAATCGTAGCATTGCAATTTCATTCCGGTCAGTGAGAGCCTTAGAAAATTTATATTAGGACAGCCTTAGAAAATTTATAATTTACTGAAGCTTAACAACTTGTACCTGGACAAGATCCATGGCACAAGGATATTATTATGAAATCATTTTGCCATCAAATAAAGCCTTCATTTACTCTAAGAGAATTTATACTGAACAATGTAGCTATATTATGATGTATGTTATATAGTGCAGTAATTTTAGAATGATTTTCAATAATCAACGCAAATTTAACACATTTTCTCTTATGATTTGTGACCAACAGTATTAATGTGTTATATTTATTTTTGTTTGTTTTTGGGGTTGTTTTTTTTTGTCTTTTTTGTTTTTAATAATTATGATCTAACAAATCTTATTCACTGAGTAGCCTTTTTTGCAATTTTTACAAATTTTTTGGCACAATTTTTACTTATCAAATACAGTAAAAAAATGAATATTTTGTTTGCGGTGATTCATAATTAGAATTCTAGTATTAATATATTGATATAAAAATGACAATTGGAAAAAATCTTAGTGTTTTCTTTGTTTTTTTTTTGTTTTGTTTTTTTTTTTTGCTGATGCGTTTTGTTTTCCGACTTTATCAAGGCAAACAATGAAAGCGAAATATTATTACACTAAATTTATAAGTTGGGGTTTGTCATGATAATTAGATCACTCTGTCATCAAATAAGACCTTCATTTACTTCAAAGAGAAATTATACTGAACAATTTAGCTATATTATGATGTAATATAGTATATAGTGCAATAGTTTTAGTGTTTTCAATAAACAATGCAAATTTAATACATTTTGTCTTATAATTTGTTTCCAAGATGTTAAGATGTTATATACACTTTTTATCTATTTTTTTGTTTTTATTAATTATGATCAAACAAATAATCTAACAAATCTTATTCATTGAGTAGCCATTTTTGTAATCTTTTACAAAGTGTTTAACTATCGAATACAGTAAAAAATGGATATTTTGCTTGTAGTGATTAGAATTCTGGTTTAAATATATTTTCCATTCAATGTATCTAATAAAAAAGATATTAAAATTTTTATTGGAAATATTCTTGAAATGGTAAAATTTTGAAGTTTGTTTGTAAGCAAAAATCTGCAGAAATTGGTTATTTTTTAGTACATTATTCAGACGATCTTTCAAACTAAATGCGCAAAAATTGAAATGAATCTATTTTTGGTGTCCGTACTTATTAGATGGAAGCCCAGCTTTCTCTACAAGGGAAATGTTTCTGTTCTAAATAAAGCGAACAATCAACCTGTTCTACTGTGTTACATGTTACCAACAACACTCGTAGAACAACCTGATAAAAATAAATATCACTAAATATGTTTAACGTTGAGTTGTAATATGAGCTTAACGCCATGAAATGCAACATGGAATGAATCAAATGTACCTTATTTTCCGGCTTACAAGACACTACGGCATGGAAGACGCACCCTAATATTGGAAAG